TCTTTTTCAAGCGTACGGAACTCTGTTCCTTAACGAGCATAAATAACGGCGGATCGAACGCGTCGCGATCGGAAGCGTACACCCTGGTCGTAACCTTGGGTAAACGCAACGATGCGGCTGGTTCGATCGGTTCTCGATGGGACTGGAAATATTTGCAACAAACGGCTACTAGAACCGGGTGAAAGGATAGTTTTCAGCGACGGCAGCGCTCGGCGTTCTCCGCCCCTCTGCCGCATCCACCCTCTGGGTTTTGCTCCGCCACCCCTTTTCCCTTCCTCGGCCTCTGTAGCTCCGCGCTTCCACCAACGGTGACCTAGTTCGCGCTAGCCGGCTGGAATCGTTTCTTCCGCACACGCCTCGGGATCCAGGTTACTCCGCTCCGCTTCGCGTCGCACCGCGTCGCACCGCGCCGCACCGCACCGCACCATTCTGCTCTCTGTGTTCGGTTTCCACACCCTCGCGTTGCCTGCCATGACGACGATTCGTCTCGCGAAACCGCGTTCATTCCGCCTCGACCGCCTTTCGATTCCGCGATCGAACCACTTTACCGTCGCGTCAGCGAATCCAGCTTTCCAGCTGACTGCGAATTCTTCCTTCGAGGTTGCGACGATCCGCTGCTGTCGCAACCGAACTCATCGACGTTGAGCGGTTTCGATTTCTTGCTCGAAAGGAAAAAAAAACTAACGCATTTCTGAGCGAAAGACTTTCAGAATGTTGTCTTGCCACGGTTTCCGCGCGCGAATATATCGCGGTGAAGTATACTCGTTGGAAGAAAACAGAGACGCGCTTTAGCGGAGCGATGGGGTGTGCGGTGGATTGTGCGTGTCTGGTGCGTCGCGCGAAAAATAAAGGGACTCGAGGAGTACAAAAACGCGCGTAGAACAACGGCTGGTACTGCAAGAACGGTCGCGTCTAGACCGACGGGATCTGCGGAAATGGAGGAGCCGAAAATGGCTATACGTGTACGCGCATATACCCGCTAACAACCCCTTTTAGAGCCCTCTTCTCTCTTATTTCGCCACCATCTCTTTCCGTCGTGTCTTCCGTCTCCTACTTTTCATCCGCATCGGCTGTTTCGACAACTTTTACGATGCCGGCCGTTTTTACTTCTAAACAAACGACCATACTGACAAATTCACCGCGACGATTATTCCAAGACTAGACCCCAGCATCCACGCAATTCGAATCTAGTTTCTGGTTATCGAATTCGGTCAAAGGATGCCGTTGCTTTTTACGAGCTGCAAACTTTGGAACTGGGCCAATCCCGTTGCGGGCACATGCTTTGCAACCGTATAGCGCAGAATCCTGGGTCATCACCGCCGCCACCGCCACCACCACCAACACCACCACCTCCACCAGCACCGCTGCTACCGCCACCGCGTATCTTTGTACGCGACAAATTCCTGCATGGCCGCGCCGTGCCACATTTTTACCAACCACTTTTACTCGATCCTCCCGGATGATTCGTTCAAGAAACCAAAAGTCGCCACTTGGGGCCAATGTCCGAAATTACAGTGGAATTGGTACAAACATCGTAGTACAAAAAAGTTGGTTCGACGAGCCCCCGTTTCCACGGAAAAGGAATCTATAATTTCAAGATCGTGGACTCGAATACCCGAGCCCTCGTTTCTTATCGATTCCCGCGATACAAATAATTCTTATTATAATTAATATTTACAACTATATTTCGATCGGTACTTTGACGAAACGTTCGAAGAACATCGACGTAGGTTGTTGGCTAGACAGTTCCTTTTAACTCGGAACAAACGATTAAATTTGGGCCTGTTCGTCCGTGCTCGAACCTATCGATTCCTACATATGGTAGTTTCGCCAAGAGAGGAGCATAATCGTGCACAAGCCAATGCGCACGGGTCGACCGATCTTGAATGCCGCATATCGCGAATATCTACGCTGCGTCCTTTCAAGCAAATCAGATTGATTTCTAGATTAACGTGCCCAGCAGAATGTGGATGCATACTCTGGCTAGAGCAAAAGTAACATCGTACAGAGATTCTTGGGTATATGGAGATTAGGAGGACGCTAAATGATTTAGTTTCGCGCTCGGCTATATCGAATACGCGCACGAGTGCTGCTGTTTCCTTTGCTGGTTCTTCCGCATCACTCAATACGTACATACCTAGCGCTCTGGTACCCTACCACTTTTCCGTCCCTCGGCTCTTCTCCCCCTCCCCGGGTGAAATTTGCGCAGTGACCTCCTCCAAGAGGAGTGGCAACCGCCTAGCCAAAGGTGTCGGTGCCGCGAGTACCGTTGACGAAGCTGTCAGGGTAGAAAATGTAATAAACACGATCGCCAATCTGATTCTATTGTCCGATCGAGGCACGCGTCCAACGCGGCGAAACGAATCGCCGCGTATGAAAATTGTAACGAGCGCGAATCCATGTACGCGCGAAAGAAATCGAGAGACCGAATAGACGAACGCGAGCTCGTAGAAGAGAATCGGGAAGCGGTTGTTCGCGTAAACCGGTAGAATCGATATGCGGATAGGAAGGAAGCGTAAATGGGAAGAGCGAAAACATAAATGGGATAGGTAAGGGGTGACGAGGGCAGAGCAGGTGGATGAATAGATATTTCTTGACCTGGGCCACGATGCTCGTCGAGAGCATAACGTAATACAAGTATTCGATGCTATCGACGTAAACTTCGCCTCCTTTTCTTCGGCTCTTTTTCCTTGGGCTTCCGTTCGCTCGTTTCCCTTTCCCCTCTACTTTTACTTTGTTGCTTCGCGTACAGGCAAGCACGAGCGGTATACTCGGAAAGTGGTTTCGCAAACGCGATGAATTTGCTCGTTAAAAAATATATCGATACATTTTTTAAAAATATTCTTTAATATCAGAGATGAGGATGAACGTTGTCCAAGTACCGGGTGTTTTAGTTTATACGGTGACACTATCCAGCAGAAAATTACTAATGCGATCTAAGAGAAAATATAAATATAAATGTTAATAGTAGGTGGAAGGGTAGAGTAGGTAGGGGTGATACTGTGATGGAGCCTGCACAGAGGTTGCTGTCGACGCCCTGCCGCTGCTTCCTGGTTTCCCTATATTGATTTTCTAGCGTGCCTCCAGCTAGACGGAAACGGAACGATGCCGCGAGAGGGAGGGAAATGGTTGCCTCGTGCTCGAGGCTCGCGCACGGACACGCTCCTACGCGGAAATAGGCTAGCCCCGGTGACGGTGTGCGTGTGTTGGTCCGCGGTGTGCGAGTCACGCTTGCGCGAACGAGTTTGCGAAATCCGGAGAAGGGGAAGTGGGTTGGAACACAGAGGGGTTAGAGAGTCCATGGTTCGCGCAACTGGGTGGAAAGAGAACAACGCCTAGGGGTTGCAAGCAGCACGAAGAAGACGCGAAAACGAAGAAGGTGGGGCTCTACCTTTTACACCTCCGCTCGTGCCTCTGCGAGAAAGATGGGGAGGATTATCCGACATCGAGCTAGCGCGCGCGTACGTGTTGTTCCTTTTTCGCCCCCGTCCTCCGGCTTCTTTTACCCTCTATCCTCCACCCTCTTCCTATCCTTTCCAACCATTTCGGCATCCTTGTTCTTGTCCTCGCGCGTTCGCCGAGGAATAAGTGTCACGGTCATTTCGTTTTGCCTCGAACGATAGGTCGCGGGAACCTCGTGGAGCTTGAAACGCAAAAATAAACCTCAAACTCGAATCGTTTCTCTGTACTCCCGTCTCGACTAAAAAGTAACAAGATACGGTCTACGGTCATGAGACATTACGCTGTAGATATCCGTCTTGTCGAGAGAGAACCGTCGCGAGAACCGTCGCGTCCACGTAGACCGCGGCAAGTAGTAAAGGACGATGCGCGGTCGGGCGATCGGTCATCCACGCTCGGGAGGTCGAAAATGTCCCTCGGCTTATACGAGTACAGCTACGACAACGACCGATAGCAATCGTAATTGTTCGTTGCGTCAACCATCCTTTTCAATTGATCGCTACCAAAGAACTTTCCGTGGTTCTTTATTTCTCCTAGCTCGTTTCACCGATTTACTTTGCCCAGGGCGCGTGTCCTTTTTCGATCGAACAACGCGGTATTGCCCAGCTAACTGTCGCGGTTTCTGTCTCGTTGCCTGTCGCGTAACTGTCTCCGTAGCTTAATTGCATCTCATTCGCTCGCTTGTTTATTGCTCTCGTGCCTCGGTCGTACTCTAAGACACCAGGAGTGCGGCAAATAGACGACATCGATCAAATTCTAGAACACCTCGCTTCCTTTAGTCGTTACTCTGTCTAATAGTAAATGGATAAACTATTCCTCTTAGAACAAGGTAAATAAACACTTGGAATACATAGGAAATGGTCAACCAGGAATTTTTGCATGCAATTTTCACGAATCGAAAATACAAGCAGCGTATACGTAATGGATGCATTATGGAATAGCTTGCAACTTTCGTTCCGATCAAGTTCGAGTGGTTCGCTATTATAGACGTTTTCTCGTCTCTCTTTTTACCGTCCTTTTCCTGCTATTTTCAATCGCACAGCCTCCTCTCTCTCTCTCTCTCTCTGCCAATTTCTTTTCGCTTCCCGACCCTTTTCCTCGGCCCTCGTCCTTCTTTGTTGCTTGTAAGCGCGCTCGTGTTCGTCCAGCGGACCGATCCGGATACCCTCGCGCGACAAGACATCGCTGCCGGCCAAGTAGCAATTCCATCGAGGCGCTCGTCTCTCTTCAAAAGGTTTTTCTCGAGCAGGAAAGCTCGTTTCGATCGTGCACGATAGTGGACTCGATGAAAGATTAAAATTCGCAAGCTCTATAGAAGCTGCGGATAACGAGAACGCGTCGACGGCGATGTTGTTCGGACATTGACGAGCCTAACTCGTTTCGCTCGTTCTAGACTGTTTCGAACTGGTTTTCGAGCGATGCCAATTTCTATCGCGTAACGACAGAAACGTTTATGCAACTTTACGCGCAGACATCTGTCTCTCAGTTTGTTACAGAGACGCGAGAAAACTCACGCAAGTATTTTTACGGTATTATTGCAGGATCGTATGACGGCCAATGGAAACTCGCCGCTGGACAGTATGAGAACCCTGGAGCATTATTTGAGCGACATCATGCGAACTGGCGCCGCGGATACCCCGAAACAGGTGAAAGGTAAGCGTCGAGGATTTTTTGAAACCGTTGTGTACACACGAATCGAAGGAACTATGTTCGATGGTATCGCGGCCGATTCGTTGAACCGGTCGTCGGACGGTCGACGAGCTCCGAGTCTCGAACGTGTCGCGCCTCGATGCTTCGGAATTGCAAAATCCGAAGAATCTCTCCGACGATACGACGCGTCGTTTGTTCGTTTGGGAGCTTACAGCTGCTGGGAATGCGTTAAGAATTCACCGGAGGATCTCGGTGGAATCGGATCGTTGCGTATACGGGGATCCACCCCTTCGGTTTACAACGCGATCCTCGCTGCGGGAAAGTAAAAATGTCTCCGGGTAAAGCGAGCCGGGAAACGTTGAAATCCGATCGTTGGACGCGTATACACCACTCGTGGAGAGTTTAGAAGAAATACGCTTCGAAGCTGGAGTCTCGTCGAACGGTTACGTTCGTTTCAATCTGTCGTTCGTCGAACCTGCAACGCGCCAGGTTTTACGACAGCACCGTCGTATCGCTTATATACCATCTACCATCCAACGCGATCACGCAGCACGACAGTTTGCATAACAACCCCGTACGCTTTACAATTATCGTTCGCTCTTATCGAATACAGTTGTATAACTTATTGTACGATAAATCGTTACGTTCGCCGTTCCTATTACGCGCGGAAGATATCCGTTATTTAGTTACCCTGGCAAACGTTAAAATCGTTTATTTTACTTGAAAATCTAATTACTAGGTATAACGGTACAACAACAAGTTCGTTAACTTTGAATATCTTCATATTTTACGTAGGTAGCAAGTAGTAAGGCGAACGATCGAAACGCGATATAAAGTTGGAAGTTACGAGACTCGGCATTCTCTTCTTTTGCATTTGCGACTCTCGAAAAATTTTCTTCCGCTGTATTCGCAAACCAGCCGCACGTGTCGTTAATAAACCTCGTTACGAACGTTCCCTATCTATTATCTACTAATCTACGCTGATAAGCAACTCCTCGATGGCTCTGTCTTTTCTTACTTGCGTACCGTTTGGCGCTGTACTTGCTCGCACACCATACGTACACGAGAGAAAATACCTAAACGGGGTCAGAAATAAATTTATTCGGAAAAATAGCTATCAAGGAGGAAATTTTAATCGGATTTTACTATAGCGTCGGTCAATTATGTACAAGTTGCGCAACAAGTCTACATATTCGTGGTCGTATTTGGGAAAGGGTAAAATTCCTTGGCTAAAGAGTGTTTGCGAAAAAAAGAGAGGATACAGAGAGATCGAATAGGTTGACCGTGCAAAGGAAGCCAACTATTCGGCAGACAAGACTAACGGCGGAACAGCCAACCAGCCGACCACTTAACGTACCTCGGCCCTTGTCGGCACCCTCCACTCGACGCGACTCCGCTACTCACTTGTACGCGCCGAACTTGTTCTATCCTCGGCGTTGAAATTCTACGCGACTTTATCCACGCGTCCGGCTCGCGTGCTCGCGTGCTCGCGGCGCGAACGAAGATTCAGACGGAAGCGAAACAAGAAAGCGTCTCGCAGCTCGCTCTCTCTCGTCCCTTGGTCCCTAGCTTTCTTTTTCCCGTCTACCCACCCTGTCTGCGAACTCCGGGAACCCTCAGACAAGCATTCTCGCGCTTACAGTCAAGGGCAAGGGTGGTACAGCGAGGCCTCTTCTTCCCGATGCTCGTCCACACCGAAACCGTACGACGACGACGACGACGACAAAGAGAGGGGAGTTGGTTCCACGGTACTCTCGGAGAATGACGAATTTTCTCCGTGTGCCCAAAGACTCGAAAGGAAACCGACCAAACCTTCGCTACCCCTAGGAAAAACCTCCACCGTGAATACCGACAAATTTCCCTTCGTGCTTATCGTTTAGTCCCCTTTGAGTATCTTTGCAACAACACAGACATTTCTATACCGATGCCTGTTCAATTCGAGTACCGATACTTTTATCGAGAAACCTTGTCGCTGAAATAATTCTAGTTTACAGCATCTCGATGGTGTCGTAGGGACATTGTTGCGTTCGGTTTTGTACACGAGCGTCTTATAATTTAGTCCATCAGCGTATTCCCGAGGGACGCAGCCTGACAGGCAGGTTCCTCGTAATGAGAAACGGCTTCGTCCATTATACCGAGTTCCGAATCTTTTCAAGACGGACTTATTATTCGGCAATATTCTCGTTATCGGTTCGCGACCGGCAAAGGGAAGCTCGGGGGATGAGACGAGACGAGACGAGACGACGACGGCCGTCGCGTCGAAGAGAATGCAGAAGAAGCGTCGCAAAAGGTGACACCTCCGCAGACCGGCGACTTCATTGTATCGCGTAATTATCGTTTCTCGTCGGGGGATGTCCGTGGCGGTCTTCGCCGAGACAGTCTTTTCTTTTTAGCTCGCCGCAGACCCTTACCCACGCAATTAAAATCCGGTCACGATCGAAACGCCGCGCCTTCGGGGATAACGATCCGTTAGACGGATGAGAACAGATCGCACCGACAACTTCCGGTTAGGAGATACCGAGTAGAAGGTAGAAAGGTCGACAGTCGTTGGGGGCTGTAAATCGCCGAGTTAAATCCGACGGTCTTTCGTTGTCTCGCTCCGTCCGATCCCGTAGGTTGTTCGTAGCACGAGTTGCTACCTGGTACCGATCGCCAGCGAGGATGCGTGTTTCGAGACCAGAGTAAGAACTTTTCAACGACTTGGAAAGAACGAGAACGAGAACGAGTCGGCGGTGGTCCGTTGTTGATCATCTCTGCTTGCAAAGTATTTGCGATCGCGTTCGAGGGCGCGAAAGATTCCGAAAGAAAAATGCCTGCTTGTATCACGGTATAGAAAATCCCTGGCGGCTGAAAGGGGAGGAGTAGAGTCGAGAGTACGATAGGATAGCATCGTAGTGTGAACAGGTTTTTATTCTAGAACAAAAACCTCTCTCGAGGCATTGTAAGGCTCCGTCGAGTGGGCGTGCTCGCGACGACGCCATCTTTGGAAGTGTCAGCACGGGGCACTTTAAACTGCACTAGTAGGTCAAGTCTCGGAAAATCCGAATGTAACCTAGACGACGACGCGACGAGTAAGAAGCCGCGGCGCTGTACCCTTCCCGCGTGCAGCCATTTTATACTTTTGAGCGAGTTTGCTTCGAACGGTGCCGAAACCTAACCCCCGAACAGCCTTTGAGAAAGTCTAGTTTGCGTTCAAAGTCGGTGGAACGGAAGGGACGAGGAGAAGGATCGCGGTTTGAGGACAACTCGAGACCGGGTAGCAGCGTTTCGTTAGCTGCGAAACGGTTTCAGAGTCACGATCGATATCGTGAAAAACCGCGATATGCTATACGTACATACGTACGTGTGTACCCGTAACTACGTTGTGTACGTAGTGGCAAGAACGATCGCGTGTTTAACGTCGATAAGATCGCTTTAAAAATACGCGAATCGATGCCGGCGCGTTATCTTGCCGTTATTTCGGTGTTGCGCGCACCGGTCTTTCCTAACAGATTTTTGGAAATCGCGCCGCGTGCCGTCGTTTTTTGGTTTCGCGTCGTGTCGCGTCGTGTCGCGTCGCGTCGCATCGTTTCCAATCGATCGGCTGTTCGCGACGTACGACGAAAAGCGCGCGTGGGTATTTTGCGACGAACAAAAGGCTGACAATGAGTAGCGGCCAACTTTGCGTCCTTGAACGCCGCGGGCTTTACGATTGCATTCCCTGACCTATATTGTGACTGCGCGTGTCGCGTAATCGGTTAGTAACGCCGCTGGGATTCGTAGAGGGTGGTTTTAACGCCGCTCTCGAGCCATCTAGGGTTTCATTGGATCGTACTTTCTCCCCCTGGTTCCCTTTTCACCTCGTCCTCCTCCTCCTCCTCCGTAGCTCTCGCGCCAGCACATAGGCGTAATACGTATAATTGAAAAGGTGAATGGATAAAGAGCGCAGCGTGTAAATACGGACGCTGTTGGGTCGAGATCCGGCCTTGAAAAAAATTAACGATTTATTTTATCATGGGGATACGTCTCCCTTTTCTTTCGGACGATCGATATTTACAATATCCTTTTCTCGAACGCAGTGCCGGGGTGCAAGTAAAAACCTTTGTTTATTCAGTTTTTGTACGAAACATTTTTGGGTCCTCCTTTGATACACGGGACTCTAGGAAAATGCCTTTATTCGAATCCTACGAGTAGTACAGTAGATCGTGCGTTCACATCGAGGTCGAGTTACGAACCGCAACAGAAACTTTCAACAACCCCCCACAACCCAGAGTGTAGAGCGATGGAATTTTGTTTCTGCCCCGAGAAAGATGTTTTCCGTACATTATTTACGACAGCGTTGGGCTAAATTTAATCAAAGTAACGACCGATTAAATTATTTCGCGATTCCCGTCGTAGCGTTTCGGTTGTGCGGTCCGTTGCACGCTTCCTCGCCGACGAGGCTTTTATCGATCCTGCTAGACCAAGCGGCTTCCTTTCTTGCTCCTGGACGACGAAGAAGCAATCCCCTGTTCGAGCTAGCGTTGCTACTACGCGGCTCGGTCTTTCCCGGACACCAAGAAAAAATATCGTTTAATCGGAAACCACCACGGTGTCTCTGTTACGAGCTGGCGCCATCCGGATAAGATATGGTCAAGATTATTGCAACGGTCGAGGATGCAGCTAGCTATCGATCGCAGTCGATACGGTAAAACTTACCGCGAAGGTGAAAACCAACCGTATGATCGACGATCGTCCTTGGAAGCAATCGCGTTGCGTAGCATTTCGCTGTTTCCGCCTTAGCTCGACGAGTTTCAAACAGAAAAGACAAATTATCGCGCGCGATGCTTGTTATTTGTTCGGCCGTGAAGAAATCAGCAAATTCGTTTAGGACATCGAAAGTACTTTGGGGCCGCTTGTTCGATTTCTCGATGGCTCGTGGCCGAGTTTTCGGAGTGGCTACTCGTTATTAATATCGAATAGACTCGAGTAACGAACAACGACGGTTAAAGTAGACGAGCGTGAATCGGAGGTAACGATCCGAA